AGGCCGCAGCCCTGGCGGACTACACTTCAATGACCCAAGCTGCTTATGAGTTATTTTTAACCACCTCCCTTTCAAAAAGGGAGGATCCCTCTCAGCTCCCAAATGCAATAAAAATAAGGGGGGGGGTGAGGGTATACAGGTTCATAAAATGAAGAGATCAATCCAGCTGAAATTCTATGATTCCAGACCCATGACATAACTCATTTCTGGCCTGAGTACCTATAAGAAAGGGGCGGAATATGTGAATTATTCAAATTATTTGGGTCAAACTAATTTAGACTGTTTGCAAGGAGAAAAAGGGTTAATTTAGTTCTAGATTTCCTGAATTAGCTCTGGTATTAATTTCACAGGGCAGAGGGAATTTAGCAGACTTTTGTAAACTGGAAAATAGAGCCCATTACTGTGGCCATCAGGGTCTCCCAAACTCAGTGAGAGGTCTCTCAAGGTGGTGGTGAACACATTTCACCCTTCAGTCCCAAAGAGGCTGGGAGAAGAAATGCAAAATGGACGTAGAGCCCTGAGCAAAGAAACAAGTTCACAGATATCAAGTGGTAGGGACCTCAGAACACCAAAGAGCAGAGGTGGGGCCCAGGGCAGGAAGGGAATACTGAGTTAAGGGGAAAGACTGGTAGAAACAGCCAGGCGGTCTACTTCAGGTGAGCCTGCAGCAGCAACAGGGCTGGGGGGTGGGGGGAACATCTGGAGGAAGGAGTTTCCAGTGTGGCAAAGGTACGGCTTTGAAGAGGAAAAAACAGTAGGGAGAGACTGACAGTGGTGAATAAGGGAAAGCTGGGGCTGCGTAACTTGCTTTGAGGTTCAAGCGTAGAGGCATGAGCGGGTGGTGGGCTTTTCGCCCCGGGTAGGAAGACATCGCGGGAAAAATATGGCTCCACGGGGGTGCGGGGGCTATCACAGGCCTGAGGAAGAAGAGCCGCGGGGTGTCACTCAACTGGGAGGAGGGGGTGCCGCAGGGTGGGAGGCTTGTCACAGTCCAAGGAGGCGGCACAAGGGGGTGTCACTGTCCTAGGAGATGGGGGAATTGTCCTTGCGCTGAGAGGAGGAGGCGCCAAGGAGCAGGGGGGGTTGTCACGATCCCGGGTAGGGGGGCGCCGCGTGGCGTCCCCGCTCTGGGAGGATTCCAGTAAGTCTCCCTCTCACGGGAGGCGCTGGACGGGTCAGGTGGAAGGCGCCGCTCCTGGCCGGTCCTGCAACCGCGCCCCGGGCGCCCCCGCCCCGCCGTCAGCTCTCTCCCGATCTGAAGGCTGAGGCCAGTCCCGGGTGTGGGCAGCTTTCCGCGTAGCGCAGTGCAGGGAAGGGCAAAGCTGGGCAGCGTGGTAGGCCTTCTCCCTCACCCTTGGCCAGATCCCGAGCTTACCTGGTGTCCGCGGCCCCCTGCTCGGCCCGCCCGGCCACTCTCCAGATCCCAAGATGTCCGCCCGCCCCCTGCTCGCTTGCCCGCTGCCTCGGCTTTCACCGCAGTGCCGCGGCCCCGCCCCGAACACAGTTGCGCGTGCGCGTCCGGCGATCGCACCGACTACATATCCCGTCAGGCCCCTCGACCTTCTCGCTTACAATTTTAAGCTTTCTAGGTTTAGCAAAACTACAACTACCCGAATGCCTTCGGCTGGGAAGGCGTGCCTTGGGAGAGGGATAGGCGTGGCCTTATCCTCCCTTTCACGAAATACACATCCCATCATACGCCACTCACTCACTTCACTTTCCCCACTGAGCATTCTGGGCATTGTAGTCTGCAATCCACCCTGTTCCTATTTCAGTGTTTAGGAGAGCTTCAGAGGATTAATGCCATTTGTTGAAGCCCATTTGTCAAGCCTGAGATTGCTGTAGGCCTTTTCTGTCTCCGGAGTCCGAGGACAGGCTGTGCTCACTTTACACACACATGCCTTGGCAGAAGTGTTTGTACTGAATTTCCTGCTTTCTAACACCACCTCTGATTCTCCCAAGAGTTTTTCATCAAATATTTCTTCCAGACATGAGCCTTTTCCCAGGGATCAAGACCCAAGTAAAAGGGCAGGGAGCAAGGAGGCAAATACTTGTAAGAAACTAGCCAAAGCTTTTCAAGAATGTCTGTTCTATCCCCGCTATACATACGTATGTGACCTCTCAAGCCAAGGACCTGTGTGCCTTCTAGTGAAAGCATATATGTTGCTTAAAAAACCGTTGGCAAGTTTAATTTAACTGGACATGGAATTTGAAATCCCCTCTCTGATGAACAGAGTTAATCTTCACATCCAAGCTGAGAAGAGACAGCAAACCCTCACACATGAAAGGCCTACTTCCTCTTGCAGGACCTAAAGAAAATGTTAGCTCTTCTCTTTCTGTAGGGAGAGATGCCCTGCTGCCTTCACTGCTGCTGAGCCCATCATGGGAGGAAGGACAAAAAGGGGCAAACCTGGTTGCAAACCCTACTGTTCCAGCATCCTCCTGCTACAAGCCAGGACGTGGCAGGATGAAGATCTGGTCTTCCTCAAACGGTGGCCACAGTGTGAATCCATTAAGTGACCGAATATAGGCATTTCTAATTCTTGAACCAGCACTCAAGGCTTCACTGCTACCTTTCCAAAAGCTTTATCTTCAGTAATGTCCTACCATTTAGAGTAAATAATAATAATAATAATAATAATAATAGCTACCATTTATTGAGCACCTATTCTACTGTGTGCCAGGCACTGTGCTGGGCACTTTTCGTACATTATCTAATTTAAATCCTCACAACAACCCTGTGAGGTAGGTATTATTATCGTCATTTTACATATAAGGGAACTGAGGCTCAGAGAGATTAAATAACTCTCTTATCACAAAACCAAAAAGTAGTAGAGCTGGGATTCAAACCCAGAACAACCTGACTCCAAATCCCATGCTCCTGTGAGTTAGAGTAGACGCAGGGGGGAGAGAAAGGACCATATTCAAGAAAGATTGTTGGAGTGGAATGGATATGATATGCTGACTAGTAAGATATGGGGAGGAATTTAAGCCCATAAACGTTACTAGCTGGTGTGCCTATGTAGAGTGTGATAAAAATAACCAGGATTGGAATTCAGGAGGAACACACTTGATGGGGGAAATGAGTTGAGTCCATATGTATATGTCCATGGTGATGTCCAGTGGGTGGTAATACAGATCTAAGATTTGGAGGGAAATTGTGGCTGGAGATATGTGTTTTAGAATCACCAGCATATCAGTGTCAGTTGAGGACATCAGGATAGATAACATCATTTGAGGAGTAAACATAGAGGAAAGAGAAGTGAACCAAAGATGGAACACTGGGAGCACCAACACTGAAGGCATGAGCAATAGTGGAGGAATTCTCAAGGGAGGTGAACATGGCAGAGTCAGGAAAGGAAAAGTATAGGAGGCAGCCCTGTAGTGGTGGCTAGAGAAAGCCATGGCCTGGGTTGGAAGCAAACCTAAAGCTCCTAGAAGGCAGGCAAGACTGAGTCATGCTTCCAACACAGCCCTTGGTCACCAAAAACCCCAGGAAGTCTTGGTTAAATGAATGAATGCCAAAATGTCCCTACCCTGGTTTGCCCCAAAGCCTGGAGCTTAACACTTAATCCTACTCTTGACACCCCAGTCCTAAAAATATGGAGAGAGGTAAGCCAGGAGAATTTATAGAAGAGGTTTAAAGAGAAAGTCATAATTTGCTTAAACTGGAGAATAAGGTAAAAAAAATAAAACCTGGCACTTTAGTAGGAGTCCCAGAAGTCCTCCTGCCCAACCTTTCTCTGGGGCATCATGGTGATTATGAAATCAGGGAAGGGCGTGTGGGGTAAGTGGCAGGGTGAGGACAACCTGCCAGTTGCTTGGGGAGTCCTCTGCTGAGCCTAACCTGAGACCCAGCTTACGAAGTTTATCCAGTAGGAAGATGATGGGGACATGTGTGGGAGGCTTGAGGGCTATAAGGAAGGGGAGAGGGAAGTCAGGGAACCAGCCCTACAACCTGGGAGAGAAGGTCCAGCCCTCTGGGTAGGGACCAGCCCTGAGGCTTAAGTGAAGTTGGCATAGGTACATGTGTGTATATGTGTGTGTGTGTGTGTGTGTGTGTGTGAGAGAGAGAGAGAGAGAAACAGAGAGAGGAGAGAGAGGGATGGGGCACTCTCTGGAAAGGGGAACAGAGTCTCATACATGGGTGAGAGGCTGGAGCCCCCCACAAAAGCCTAGTGACTCAACATGTTGAAGTGAGGGTGTGGGAGCTGAACATCCTTGGGAAGCCCTCAGGGGCTGCTGAGGCAGGGTTCCTGGTCTCCTCGGAGGCTGGGCCTCCCCTTGCTGGGGGCTCACAGAAAGTCAAACAGCCCGAAATTCTTGGCTGCTCCAGGCCCAGGAAAAATTGAGGGAAGAAAAAAGAAAGAAAAGAAATGTTTCAGGCCCAGAGGTGAGATGAGCCTGGTGGTTAGTAGGGTTAGGGATCTGAAGGAACCAGCACACAGGGCAGGCATGGGAGTATAGATGTAGGGGTAGAGCAGATATGCTTCCCAGAAGCCACTAGCAGCTCAGGCAACTGAGGGGGCCCTTCGGGCTTCTAGTAAAGGTGGGCACAGGCTGAGATAGCTTGGATGGTTATTGGAAGTGACTACAGCTCTAGGGTACAGGACTGAGGCAGCCCCCCCCCCCACGGCGGGGCGGGGGCAGTTAGGAGCAGGGGCAGCTGAAGCAAGTATTTTTTGGTGTCAGTATTGTGCGGGAAAAGTTAAGAGACTGGCACACATGCTCAAGGGGATGCGGTTAATGGAGGGCTGATGTAGCTGAAATGAACGGTGCAAGGTTGCTGCGGGGGTACGGGTGGCGGGGGGTGGGGTGGGGGGAAGGTGGGGCTAAAGGGGTGAGCAGGCCCTCAAGGGCACCGCTGGGTTCAACTGCTGAAGTGTGTGTGGGCAATAAGGAGCAGCACCAGCAAGTCGGGTCCCAGTAACATGAAGGATCCTGGGAAGGCCTACGCAGCGGTTAGTGGACAGAGGGGCAAGCTAGGGCCTGGCAGGTTAGGGGCCGCAGTGGCGATTGGTGGGTGCACCCCGCCCTTGCTGCGCCCAGCGAGCAGTTAGCGCGCCTGAATTTAGTTCAATTTATTTCCCTTTCAGGTACCAGACAAAGTAAAAAAGACGGACGGATGGAGAGAGGGACGCAGCCTCCCGGGTGGGTGCGGGAGTGGGATGCAAGTGGGGGAGGGGCCCTGTTCACATCACATCCACAAAGAACTCACTGGGGTTTCCCATGGCCATGCGGAAGGACTGTCTGCTGGCTGTCAGTTCAGGGGGCACAGAGGCCAGGTCGCGGCCCGGGGGGGCTCCTGGGGGCCCCATGGCCGCGGGCGGTGGGGGCATCATCAGCATGGGGGGACCGTAGAGAGGGGGCACGCCAGGAGGCCCGTAGCTCGGGTGCGTGTGATGGCTGCGCAGGCTGCCGGCCATGGAGTGGTGGCTGCGGTGGCTATGCTCGCTGGCGGCAGGCCCCGAGCGCTCGCTGGGCGCCCTTTCCCGCGGCCCCCGCAGGCTGCTGCGGGTTGTGTGGTCCGACTCGCTGCCGCTGCCGCCCGACTTCGAGTCCCCCGCCTTCGGGTCCTTCTCCTTCCGCCGGTCACTGCCGCTACGGTTGGAGCCACTGCTCCGGCTGCCTGCAGGGGACAGGCAAGCCCAGGGCAGGCGACGCTCAGAGCTTGCAGAAGCAGCTTGGGGTTCGCCTGTGCCCCCACCACCGCCCCCCTCCACCTTACCTTCACTGTGCTGACTGCTGGCGCTGCCCCCACCATAGCTGTACCCCAGCTCTGGGAAGCCTGGGTGCGGGTTGTAGGGGTGTGGGGGCGGCGGGTACTGGTAAGGGAAAGCCATGGGCCAAGGGGCGGCCCCTGGGTGCGGCAAAGGGGCCAGGGTGTCCTGGTCAGAGGCGCCACTGGAACCGTCGTGATCATGGAGGGACAAGTTGGCCATGTCTGTGGGGGGGAGGGCCAGATGAGCTGGGTCTATCCCATGCCCCCACACCCCTAGGTCAGGAGAGAGAGGTCCCCGGTCTAGGTTGGGTGGTACATCTGTGATGACACCTAACAGCAGTGGTAGTTTATCCCCCAAATGAGTGGAGGCATAGGTCAGAGATCTCTCACTTCTTCAGACCCCCTCTGCCACCTACCTGAGATGGTGGAGAGGGAGACCCTGCAGACACAGCACCAAGGAAAACCCTCCTCAGGAAGGCCCTAAGCCCCAACTTCAGATGCTCAATGCCCAATCCTGACACCCAACTCCTAGGCCCAGGGAGGCCCCCTTCCAAGGGTTTGACAGTTTCTCCTCCTTCCTCAGTAAACTGGAAGAAGGAGCACAAGTCTTAAATGGGCAATGTTCTCCTCTGTTCACTTGGGGGGAGTGTGAGAAGCTGAAATAGCAGACAGGTATTGCAAACCTGCCAGTCATTAGACACGATACAAAGCCCTTCACCTCATGCAAATGTTACCACCATCCTATGAAGAGGGCATTAGTCACATTTTTTCCAGATGAGGAAAGTTTAGTCCAGAGAGGTTAAATGATCCACCTGAGGTCAATCCAAATTGTAGCCAGAGCAGAAGCTAGGAGTTGCTTACTTTCTTATCTTTCCAAGTGAGTCATTAGTAAAGAGTAGGGAGCAGTTTGGGGAAATTTAGGTGAATTTTTGCCCTCTCCCTTCATCTAGGACTAAAAAAAATACCCATTATAGGCCAGAATGAACATAGGCCTTTCAGAGCCTCCCCATACAGAAGGCTCTTGGTCCAGATGGATTTTCTGGTGCTGCTGGGGAAGGTGGAAAGAGCTCAGAAAGAGAACAACTTAGATGCCTCCTCTGTGCCCTCCACCCCATTCCCAGCCAGGCCTCATTCTTCACAGTATTAACATTACTTGTTTCATGACTCTGGCTCCCACAGTAAACTGTTCACTCCTTAAGGGCAAGGCTGCCCCCACCAATGTTGGAACTACTTCAAAGAGGCCACCAGAAGTGTTACCTGCCTGGGACACCCCTTGCTCACACGTCATCATACCAGGTCCCAGAGCTCTGACACAGCTGGAATTGCCCTACAGGCCAGCTGCTGGATACAGATGGAGCCCTTTGTTCCAACTCCTTAAGTAAGCCAGCCCAACCTTCCAGGGAAGAAGAGGTCAGGAAAGGAGGATCTGAGAGGGCGGAGGCAGTCTGTGGAGTCTACCAGCTAAGCCATCAACTTGTCAAGGCCTGCAGCTAGCATGGGGGTCGGGGTGGGGGTGGTGGTGAGGAACAGGGGGCTGCCTTGGCTCATGCCCCAAGAGCTGGTGACTATTTCAGCCTCCGAGCTGTTGTCCTGAGGGGAGTGATTGTGGGCTCCTGGGGATCTCCCAAAGAATTGGGGTCCTCAATTCTTTCCTTTGAGCCTGCTGAGGAGGCTGAGGAGATCTTGGCCAGTGAGAAGAAAAAGACCTGTCTGTCAGCATATCCCTGAGCTGGGCCTCTGGGGGGACTTGGCGCATGGATAGAAGACCCAGGAGGCCCCAGGGATAGAACAGTATCTCTTGAGCAAAAACCACACCTGTCTTGAGAAGCTTTAGGGGTCCCTGGAGGTTCAGGGCCAGGGCTGACTTCTTCTAATGATGATAATAATTACCACACAGGATTGAGTCTAAGAAGCCATTAATTATAAGATGCACTCCAATTTCAGAGATATCGAAATGTGAAAGAAATGTTCACCTTAGAATCAATTAAATTTATGAATGGAGAATTTTTTAAAGCACTTACTGTGGGCCAAACATGGTGCTAAAAGCATTATACACACTGTCTTAAACCTCTAAAAAGCTCTGAGATAGGTTCTACTATTACCTCCAACTTATAGATCAAGAAATTGAGGCAACGAGAGGCTGTCACTTACTCATGTTCACACAGTGAGGGCGGAGCTAGGATTTGAACTCAGAACTGTCCAACTCCAAAGCCCTAGGCACCTGTCACCCTCCATCACGACCTTGTGCTCTGCAGCAACAGCCTTTCTAGTCCTAGAACCTAACCTGAAGCATTTTAAGTCAATTTTTGGACTTCAGCCAGCAAGCACCACTGGGATGACAAAAGGCTCCCTGAGGCAGAGGTGGCTGCTGGGAGTGGGCTTCTGCTCCCAGCCCTGAGCAATGCTGTCCTGTTTTGAGGACTCCCCTTCCTTCCCAAGGGCTGCCTACATGCTCAGGAGGAGAAGGGGGGGGTTCCCTGCAGACCTTTCCTCCTTAAAAGCCTTCATTGGCTTTGCACTCTCTTGGGATCAAGTCAAGCTTGGGGCAGCTTGCAGAGTCCTCAACAAGCTGGCCCTGACAGTTTTTTTCAGTTTCATCCCAAGGCCCAGCCCACCCTCAAGGGTCTGAGGAGGCTGGGGACTTGGGGGCTCAAGCCAGCCCCAGGTCCTGCCTTGGTGGAACCTGCGTGGTGCTGGGAGGGTGATCAGGGGCCAATGCTAGGATCTTTGACCTTGGTAAGATAATGTTTCTGCAACACCACACACCTAGGCAGCTCCAAACGGTAGTAAGAAAAAGGACTCTGGAGCCAAAAAGACCTGGACCCAAGACCTAACTCCTCTGTGTCTGACTGTGAGAATGGGTGGACTATTAAGTCTTAGTATCCTCAGCTGAAATAGGGACAGTGATCCATCTCCCCAAAGGTGAGGAGGCGGGGTTGTGAGGACTGAGTGAGAGTGAGATGATGCTTAGAAACAACCAGCACAGGGCGCCTGGGTGGTTCAGTCGCTGAGCATCTGCCTTCAGCTCAGGTCATGGTCCCAGGGTCCTGGAATCAAGCCCCGCATCGGGCTCCCTGCTCCGCGGGAGGCCTGCTTCTCCCTCTCCCACTCCCCCTGCTTGTGTTCCCTTCTCTCGCTGTGTCTCTCTCTGTCAAATAAATAAATAAAATCTAAAAAAAAAAAAGAAAGAAAGAAAGAAACAACCAGCATGGTGCCAGAAACAGAGGAGGCACTTAGAAAATGCCAGGCCGAAGACGGGGACGCAGACAGGTGAAAAGGCCTGACTGGGAGCTGCTTCTACTAGAGAGGGAGGCCCGTGTCAGGCCTCAAGCTGGGCCCCCACCTTGGCTGCCTGCTCACGCCTCATGTGGGCTCCCTGGGGTCTGCTGCCACATCCCTGGGCCCCTCCCCACTCCCAGCCAGGAGACAGAGCAAGGAGGTGGGGGAGGCACATACTGCCACAGAGGTCACCGAAGATGTAGTAGCACTGCTCAGAGAAGGTGATCTTGTTGACGGTGTGGCGGATGAAGCCGGCTTTCAGCAGGTTGCTGGCATACTTGCGGGCCTCCCTCCGGTCAGTGAAGCCTTCCACGTTGTGGTATAGCCAGTCCACCACATCCGAGCCTGGGGGCAAGGCCGCCACTTGATTGGGAGGCCCACCTGACTTGGGCTCATCTGACCTCACAGAAGCCACAAGGCTGGGGCTGGTGCCAGCTCCAAGGAGTGGCCCAAGGGAGATCTTCAGCCCCCAGCCTGCCCTGCCCTACCGCTCCCCACCCTGCCCTTCATCCCACCATGGGGCCCTCTCACCGATGAAAGCATTAGGGATGGTAATCTTGAGCCACATGCGGTCTCGGACCTCCAGCCCAGATTCAGGGGAGGCCATGGCTTTGACAATGGCAGCCATGTCACTGTGGATGGACAGGTGGAAGTCGTCTAGGCCTGGGGGTGGGAGGCAGAATGGTGAGGCAGAAAGGGGCTACAGAGTTAGGTGGAGAGGAGTTGGCACTGCAGCTCTATCACCCAATAACTATGGACCAATGGTGGACACATTATTGACTTCTAGGACACTTAGTTTCCTCCTCTGTAAAAATAGGGACTTTAATATTTATTTTTCAAGGATTTGCTTGTTTGTTTTTTAAAGTAGGCTCCATGCCCAAAGTGGAGCCCAACACAGGGCTTGAACTCACAACCCTGAGATCAAGACCTGAGTGGAGATCAAGAGTCCAACGCTTAACCAACTGAGCCACCCAGGCAACCCATATTTTGCAAGGGTACTTGAAGAGAGAATTAAATAATATAAATGAAGGTGCTTAGCAAAGTGTATAATATGTGTGTTATAATAAAAATGGCAGTCATTTGCTGAGTGCTTACTTTATGCCACATACTGGGATTGAGGCTTCACTTATACCCTCTCGTTAAAACCCCCTCCCTCACCCCGGGACCTGGTAGAGTGCATATCATTAGTCCCATTTTACTAGAGGAAACTGAGGCTCGCGGGGTGCTCAATACAGGTTCAGAGGCAAACATTGTTTTGTGAGGGTTGGGTGTCCACTCTGGGAAGCTGCAGTGTGAGGTAGCTGGAATGAACTCAGCCCCCTCTCCAGCCCCCTCTGACTTTTAAGCAAGAGTCTCCATGTGGGCCTTCATCAGTCCCTCCCACCTGGCCTCGTCTGCTGGGCCTCGGGGGCAGGGTTGGACACTCACGCTCTGTGTCAGGGATGGAGCTGGTGATGGAGGAGCTGGTGGAGGTGATGGTGCTCAGGGAGGGGCTCATGCCATAGGCAGGGAAGGTGCCGGTCATGGCTGCAGTGTGGGAGACCCAGGCTGCAGGGTCAATGGGACGGATGGGCTCGCCTGCAGGGAGGATGAGAGTCAGGGGCTGCCCACGCTGCCCACTGGCAGGCCCCACAGGGTAGGTATGAGGGTTCAGGGCAACACAGAAGGAAGGAGAGACAGGGTTCACGTGTGCCAAGCACCAGCTTTAGGGCTGAGTCGCCCAGCCACTTACTCCTGGGCAGTGTGAAGCAACCACGTGGACTTGGGTCCCAGCACTTGGCTACAGTCAGGGTGATGGGCCTGAAAGCAAGGGTGTCCCTAGTGAGGGCAGGATGCACGGAGTCCAGACCAACCCTCTTGCCTCACAGCCAGAAATGCCTGCCCCCTCCTTCCCAATGTCCCATCCCATCCATACCCCGGTTTGTGCACAATCTCCCGCAGTACCCGGACTGCGTCGTCATTACTCATGTTCTCAAAGTTGATCTCGTTTACCTGGGAGAGAGGGCCAGAAGTGGGATAAGCAGCTGGGTTGGGGAGGTGGATAGGGAAGCTGAGCTTGGTGGATCAGGTCTTCCCCCTACCAAGAAGTGGCCTTTAAATGAGCAGGGATTATCTCCCTACTCCCCATCCACACCACCATCTCCAGTGGGCAGTGGTACCTGTAACAGCATATCTCCTGGCTCAATGCGTCCATCTGCAGCCACAGCACCCCCCTTCATGATAGAGCCGATGTAGATGCCTCCGTCACCACGCTCATTGCTTTGGCCCACAATGGAGATGCCCAGAAAGTTGTACTTTTCTACAGAGAGTAATACAACCTTAAGAGGGGAACAAGGTTCCCACCCAAATTCTGAGCCCCTTATTAGAAAAGGGTGGAAAGGGATGGGAGGAACTAACATTCATCGAACCTGAATCAGGCCCGTGTTCAGCACGGTCAAGCATGCTTCCCTTCAGGCCTTGCTAGCTCTGCCACAGGGACTCTTCGTCCTATCCTACGAAGCAGGCCACTGAGCCTCGGAAAGCTTCAGCGCCTTTTCTAAGCCATTAAGTGGCAAAGCCAGGATTCAAACACAGACTTAAATTCTAAGGCTGGGGCTCTTTTTACTACATCCAGCTATCTCCTAGAGACAGTACCTAGGGCAGAAATCAGAGAGCAACAAGCATCGGCTGAAAAAGGGAAGTGGGATAGGAATCAGAAATTACTTCCTCCAGGAAGCCTTCCCTGATGCCATCCCTCTGCTTCCACAGCTCTCTGTGCTTGTCTCTGTCATAGCCCTGATCACGAGCTGCTGAAACGATCAGTGTATGTACTGGTTTATGTTTATGAGAGAAAGCTCCTCGGGGTCAGGGAACGTATCTTGTGCCTCTCTGAACTCCTCAAGTCTGCCCAGTGTCTGGCATATAGTAGGCCCTCAAGAGTGTTGTTTCACCAGACTCACCCATGTTGAGAGTGACTGTGATGATGTTGAGTGACATGGTGGAGTCCGTGATGCTGCTGAAGGACGAGGACTGGAATAGACAGAGGCCCTGAGCAGCACGGAGGGCTGGCGACAACTCACTGCTCCCACCTAGCTCCTCCTCCAGGTGAGCCCTCGGCACCCCCTCCCCTCTAAGGCTCAAATGCTGGCCCCATAGGAGGAGGTCTAAGGAAGCACACACCCTGGATCTGCCTGGACAGGGCACAATCTGCCCCCACCCAACCCTGGCATCTCAGGCCCCGTACCCGCTCAATCCGTGAAACCTTCTGCTTCCTCCGCCGCCGCTTATGTCTTCTCATCAGGCGTGAGGCGCTGCTCTGCTCTGTGGAGCTGCTGAACCTGGGGGGCCCACAGTCGTTCCCCACCAGGCTGGCCCAGCACTGCCCCACAAGAGGCACCACAGGGCCCAAGTCCCCCACGCAAAGCCCACAGTCCTCCCAGGGTCCCACCATCCTGGGGGGGAGGTGGGGTCAGGGCTCCTTGAGGGTCACCTCTCCCACAGTACCAATGAAACCAAAGCCCCACCTGCTGGTGGAGTCATCCTCATCCGAATCAAAGAAGCTGGTGGTCTCTAACTCGCTGCTCATAAGGGTGGATGAGCTATCATAACCCCCTGGCTCTCGCCGCCGTTCCCCCTTTGCAGTTCCATTTAGCCGGGTTGCTGCAGGGAACAGAGGCAGCTGGGTTCACAGTGCCAATGCAGGAGGTAAGGGAAGACACAGGGCTGGGCTAGGGGCTGCACTGGGGCCAGGCATACCCCAAGCTCAGGAAAGGGCAAAGATGCGGGTAGCTGAATGGAAGCGGTGGGGGTAGGCGTGGGTGGGGGTGGGGAAGGAAGGTGTCTGTTCAGGGAAGACGCACTGTGCTCTGGGCCATCCCTCCTGCGTGGCCGCTCGCGCTGGGCAGACACCAAGGAGTCTGTCTCTGTGTCATTGTCCAGGTTCTCCTGGCTGCCTCCACCAGCATGAGGGCTGCAGGGAAGAGAGGACTTGGTGGGAGAGGTGGCAGGCTGGGGGCTCCCTCCCCCCAGCCCTGGGCTGAGCTGATGCATCCCTCCCCCATGGGCCCACTCCATCCTCAGGCCACACTCACTGGAAGGATGGGGGCCGGGAGTCCCCAATGCCTCCCGTGCGCTCCATGGGCGGTGGCAGTTCTGATGGGTTGTCAGCACAGAAGGGAGCTGGCTCTGGGTGTGAGCCCTCAGCAGACACCAACTGATGGGGAAAGAATGGGTGGGTAGTGTGGTATGGGGGGCACCAGGGAAATAGCAGATGGATGGCTTCTGGCAGGGCACGCAGACTTGGGGAGAATGAAGCAGGGGACATGGAGGTAGAAGGGACAGGACTGTGCAAGGTCAGCTGAGATGAGGAATGGACTCACTGCTGGTGGATGGGGAGGATGGGAGGCATGAGCTATTGAAGTGGGATGGGGGCAGAGAACAAGGGTCAGTGGTCTAAGGCAGAGGTTGGCTGGAACCTGAGGCAAAGTTCCTCAAAGGGCGTCGGAGACATTTGTGTCTCTGATGAGTGTTTCTGTCCCTCCCTCTCTCCGTATTCCACCTCCCCCGGGCCCCCCACCTTTCACCAAGGCTACAGAATCTGGGGTGAGAAAGAGTTCAGGTAGAAAACTCAGGGGAGAGTCAGATATTGAAGTATAAAACCACCAGCTATAATCTCAGCAATGCTTTTCCTCTGTCTAGCCCACTGCAGGAACGCAGGAGGAGGGAGGGCTGAGGAGGGCTCCTTACCCAAGACACCACCCGGCCATTGAAGCAGGGCAGCTTGGCATTGTCGTCGGAGATCTCCTCCTTCACCACTCTGCAGGGAAAGGGTGGGGGTGTCCGAGTGAGCTTTCTGGGGTGGAAATGGAAGGGTCCTCACAATCCTAACTCAGGGGCTCCTCCACCCTAAACTGGGAATCATGCCACCAGCCTAAGCCTATTCAGATGGGAGCAGAGTGGGGGTCACCTAGGGACAGCTCTTTAGCACCACCAGGAAGACACCAGCCCTGCCCAGACCAGATGCCATCCTGGGGTGTCCTCTCAGTTATCAGGTGACTGCAAATTATACCTGACAAATTGCTGTCCCCCATGAATGTGGCTACTCCCTAGAATCATGAGAGTGCTTTACCCAGTCCAACATAGCTCTTCTGGACTAGACTTATTCTTTCCCTCTGACCCTAAACTAGGAAAAAGTACATCCTTATTTCTGTCTTTCCCTTCTTAGGAATCCTGACATTCTTCTGGGAGGTGTGGATGAGGAGTTTTAAGGATATTAGGAAAGAGAAGGAGAAACTGTATTTACTGAACATCCCCCACTGCCTTTATGATAGTAGTACCAACTGCTCTCATTTACTGAGCATGTATCATGGGCCAAGCACTAAGCTAAGCACTTTGCTTGTGTCATTTCATTTAATACTCACAGCAATGCTAAGACAGATACAGATGGGGAAACTAAGGCTTAGTAAGTTCAGAAATTCACTTATGGTCACACCACTAATAAAAGCTGGAATTTGAATCCTGGTCAGCTTGATTCTTTAGCCTTTATTCTTACCTATTATACCATCTTATCTCCCTAGAGTTAGAATGTGTACAATCTTCACATCACCTTCATTGGATGGACAAGATTCTCATTTTATGAGTAAAGAAATGGAGAAACATTCAGTAACTTGTCCCAGGTCACAGAGCTGGAAGATGTCAGAGCTGGAATTCAACCACAAGCTTGCCTGACTGCAAAACCTATGGTCTTTCCATGGTATTTCACATTTTTTTCTCATACCATGACAGGTGATGTGGATGTGCGTGTGGTGTTGTGGGGGGAGACAGTGATGTGGGGCATGGAGGGGGTAGGATGTGTATAGGCATGTAATTTGGCTCGGGGGATGCATCAAGGCAAGAAGTCAGACCATGATTACAGTTTGGGGCCAGAGAAAGGAATGAAAAAGTTTGAGGACCCCAGACTGTTTCAAACACCCCAGGAGTACAGAGCTGGAAAGATGTGATCAGGGGCAAGAGAAAGACACATGCCTGGGGTTGTGAGCAGAGAGGGAGGCTGGGAAGCCTAGTCCTTCCTTGTTCTTGGAGCAGCTTCTGCCCAGAGCCGGGAACGTGCTTGGCTCCTTGTGATGCTCACATTCTTGGACTCACAGCCAAGTTCGAAGACCGAACCTGCCCTTCTCCCTCCCATCCAGCTCTGGTTCCTCCACCACTTCCAACCCCACAAAGATCCTGGGAAAGCAGCTCTAATCATCCTGGTCAAGCCCACGATGGCAGAAAGCCTAGGGATAGAACATGCTGAAAAGAAGGGACATGGAGATAGCTCAGAGTCATGAGCCAGGCTGGCCACAGGGTACCTTAAGCTTGCAGTCCAATATGGGAACTGGGGCTCAAAGGAAAATGGGGTATGTGGGTCTTATGGCAGAGACTGACCTGCTCTGGAGAGGGTCTCCTTGTGGTGGGAAACTGCTGCTGAGTCCCCACCACTCCCTCCCCGAGCAGGCCCCACCACATAGCTCCAATGCTACAGATGTTTCCTCTCTTTCTAGGGGTCACCGACAGGTCGCCAAGGCTCCGCTGACTCATAACGATCAGCTGATCTTCAGCAACAGCCTTGGGGACCTCAGACAGACCTCCCCCTCCCACCATGGAGATGAATGGCTCAGGGTTGCACAGCACTAACACACACACACACACACACACACACACACACACACGCCGTAAGCAGAGCTGAACACATCTGGGTTCTAATTCTGCCATTTGTTAGCCCTCCTATCTTAGAGAAGTTTTTTAACTTTTCCAAACCTTTGTTTTATCCTGGTAAGTGCGATTTGTGAATGTTGGCATGATGTAGGCTTATAATAAAAGCTAGTTATTAGCTGTGTCAATTTTTAGCAGGTCCCATACTCTTTCCAACTAGGTGTAAGTTTCTAAGGACGGGGACCAAACAAATCTACACATCACTCGTCGTCCATCATCGTTCATTCAATTAAAAAGCCTTTGCTAAGAGCCCAGTGGGTTTTAAATCCTGTGCTTGCCATTGTATAAACCTCAAGAAGCACCAGACCAAGAGCCTGCCTTGTCCTTGGAGGTTATGGCCCAATGGATAGTTCACACAAGTATATGGCAAGTGGGAAGTGGTCAGAACCATAAGAACAGCAGGTGTGTTCACTGGACAGACATTTGTTGAGTATTACTTAGGTGTCAGTTCCTGGCTAGGAGCTGGGTAGGTGTAAGGATAAATGGGATAAAGTGCCATAACTTTAAAAGCTAAACGCAGAGAATGGGGCAATTTGGACCTGGGGAAGAAAAGGGAAGAGCAGTGTGCTCTGGGTAGAAGGCCTAGAGGCAGGGCAGAATGTGACATGCAGCAGGGAGCAACATGGTTGGTAGTCCAACTTCCCATGTTGCTCCCACCCACAGCTCAAGGCCACTCTAGCATCCATCAGTGCTGAAAATGTTTATTCTTCCTCCATTTCCCAAGTAATTTAAGAGGGTCTGGCCTACTTAACTTGACAGATACTTCTGGAGACCAGATGGGAGTTGGGGAGTCCTCAGTCCTCACAAACCAGAACCTCAGAGGGTAAGCTTGGAGAGCAGCCTTTCTCCTCTGACCCACTCTCCCATCTGTCAGCAGAGGTCGCTGGCCTCTGCCCGACCCTGGTCTCATGGGGCTAGGATAAGTGGCAGCCCTATCACCTCTACAGTTTGCCAAGGCTCAGCATCTCCCTCAGAGAGGATGTATCTGTTCAATGGTGATGATAATAATAACACCTACAATTGTATGATTAAGGTCTTAGACTTTGGAGCCAGATTTCTGATGCAGAATCAAGCTCTGCCACTTACTAGCTGTGTGCCTCGGGTAAGTTACTTAACATTTCTTCATCTATAAACTGGCGATATTACTACTTATTTCATAAGGCTGTTAAGATGATTGAATAAGTAAAGATTTGAAAAGCATTCAGATCAGTGCATGCACACTGAAATACCACAAAAAGAGTTTGTTAAATAAATGAAATATATATACTTCTCAGCTACCAGTTCTCTGTGACAAGACAGCTCTAGCCCTCTCCTGCTCAATAATCCTTCTGGGGATAAAAACAAAATCAATCTCCTCCTTTAGCTTTGTTCTCAATCCTGTTAAAACAGTCTACTATAATATTTTGCAAAGGATGGGTCAAGTACCACTAACGTATGCAAGATCGCTTCAGGTGCACCTGAATGAATGTTTAATTTAATAGTTAAGTATTTATTTTTAACATATTTAGAAAGAAATACAAGTAGAAAATCAGACCTGTGATTTCATATTACTGATTGGGTCAAGCTAAGAAATAGAGAGTGAACTGGATTTAAAGAACAATATTAAGTCAACTGTGAGCAGATGTAATGGGAACCCTCCTATGACTGCGGTTAGGCCTGGTTTGACAGCAGTCTGGGGAGAGTGGGAGGTAGCCCAGAGAGGTATAGGTTTAGGAGGTGGGGGCTAAGCCCACTGGGTTCAGGGGTGAGTTGAGGGTAGAGACACAGGCCTATCCTAGTCCCTCAAGGCATCCGGTCTCAGGGTGGCTCCAGCACACTGCACTCTAGCTGATTTCCCCTATCCCATACCCTGAGGCGGCATCTTAGTCTCTTCCAACTCCATTTTTCTCTTACCAGGCCAAGGCCTCTGCCCCTCACTCTCACCCCTTGCAGATCGATCCCTCTTCAGAATCTTCCAATCAGGGGTGTCTGTCTCTGGACTGAAGCCAGACAATCATTACTACACCAGGAGTACCCCACCCCAGGGTAGGAACAACAAAAGAAGCAAGAATGGTCAGAAGCTGCATAGCACATCCCACGTTCAAAGCACTCTCACAAACAGGCTCTCATGGGCTCATCAAACCCTGAGTTCCGTGGGGTAAGATGACAGCAAAACATGTTAGGCAGAAGACAGAGAAGGTGCTTGCTTCCCAGGCCAAGAGGGGAGGGGTCCTGGAAGAGAAGCCAGACTCATCAACACCAGGGAGGAGACTGTCTCCCCTCATTCAGCTCTGGGGCCTCAGCTCCAAAGAGCAGTGCAGGCCTCAGGCTGGGGCTGGAGAGACAGCCTTTAGGCGTTCAGGGCCCGGGAAGGCCTTCCCCACAGGCCTCCAGGCCCAGTGCCCAGTTAGTGTGGGGCAGGCAAGTCTGGGGGGCCTCCCCCTCCCCCAGTCCCCTGGGAGTTGGGGGGGGTGTGAGGGGATGGGCCAGGCTCCCCCTCCCAGGCCAGCTGCTACAGAACCTTCCGGCTCCAACATTCCATCCCCTCTTAAAGGGGAAGTCCCTGCTTCCAAACTCCGCCTGCCCAAAGCCCTGCAGCTGGGTGGAGAAGACCCCGCCAGGCAGAGGAAGATGAAGAACACCAAGAGACTCTTCCTGGCCCTCCCATCCAGGCTCTGAGGCCCTTTCCAAGGTCTCCCCTTGGCCACGATCTGGAGGAAAAAGGCCCCAATTCTGAAGGGAAATCAGCACCTAGGCCAGTGGGGACTTCTCAGGGGTCAGGCACTCCCAATTCCTTGACAACATACTGAACACCCCACAAGGAAGGGGAGACAGCTAAATAAACATTAGGCTTGCTGGCCTTAGCTTGCAGCCTGGCCCCTGAACCGCCCTCCCCCAAGTCCCCCTCCCCCAAGTCCTCCTCCCCCCAGTTCAAAGTCCCACAGCATAGCCCCTGGACGCACTACTCCAAATACGGTTCTGAGTTGGGAGCTGAAAAGATAGAGAGGGCAAAGGCCGAGGGCCAAACACCCCAAGTCTCTGCTAAAAAGGTGGCTCCCTCGGCGGGCGGAAGGTTGGGGACTCTGGCTCTGGAATCGGGTGGAGGGGGGGGTGTGTCTGTCTATGTAGGCCACTGGTCTCTGAGGAGGTGAAGGGGACTTGGAACTCTGGTTGCTCTCGGGGAATTGGACGTCCCCCTAAAACTAGGGGGGCTAGGTCCCCCACAAGACGTAAAAGGAGAGTCCCTAAAGGGGCTAGAACTCCAGCCTCTGAAAAAGCCAGGGGGCCCCCAAATGCCCAAGTCGCCGCCTGGAATCCAGAGTAGGGCCAGAAGCCAGTGTAGCAAGGGGAGTCCAAACTGGCCGAGTGGGCCCCGAGAAGCAGGAGGGGCCGGGGTCCCCCGGAGGTGAGGCCTCGGGGGCCATCCTCACCCGAAATCGTCGTCCATAGACTTGAAGAAGAACTTATAGCTGGGTCGCTGCAGAACGCCCTTAAAGTCCGCCAAGGTGACGCGCTCGGCGGGCAGGGGCAGCTTCACCAGGTACGGCGTCTCCTGCCCGTCCAGGTGGTAGATGATCTTGGTCTCGCCCATGGCTCCGGCCTCGGGCCCGCTGGCCCGCGCGCGGCCTGCTCCGGCGGCCGGGCCGGGCCTCTCGGGCGGCGACGGCCCTCGGCGCGGCCCAGCGGCTCAGCCTAGCTCGGCGGCCGGCCGCGGCGCCAGCTCCCTTGTTCTCCGGCAGCTCCCGGGTCCCAGCGCCGCCTGCCGCCGCCGCCGCCGCGGCTGCCGCTTCCGCTCCCCACTCTCCCGGCTCCGCTGGAGACTGCGACTCTTCCGGTGGCCGCGGCCCTACCCGGCTCTGCGCTGCGGCTCGGCCCGCTCCCCTCCCCCGACCCCGGCGCGCCCCGCCCCGGCGCGAGCTCCGCCCCTGGCCGCCGCGCCGCGCTGGCCTCACGGCAGATGGTTGGGGCCTCTGCCGGGCCCCGCGGACACCCCGCGGTGAGCTCGGCAGCCTGCGCTCAGTTCCTAGGCCTGCGGGGAGCTTCGTGGCGGTCGCCTAGGCTCCCCAGACAGGGAAGGGCAGATCTCACCAGGATGGCCGCGTTCGCGGACTCATCAAGGTCCTGGCTCTGGACCCAGGGGGATCGGCTGTTCCTCAGCAGCTTGGGGTCACTTTGGTCCCCAGAGGTGAGGGGGGGCGGCCCAGAGGGGGGGCGGTTCTGACCAGGTATCGATGGAGGAAAGTGACGTTCATGTGGCCCTTTTAGGGTCTGTTGGAAAGCATAGCTGCTGTCACTGAGTCTACCAAACTGAGTTCCTTGAGGACAGAACGGAATCGAGTTCTGATTCCTTCTTCTAACCTCAGTACAGAGCACCTGGGTGGCTTAGTAGGTTAAGTGCCTGCCTTCGGCTCAGGTCATGGTCTCAGGGTCCTGGGATGGAGTCCCATCAGGCTCCCTGCTCGGTGGGAGTCTGCTTCTCCCTTTCCCTCTGCCCCTCCCCTCTGCTCCTGCGCGCGCTCTCTCTAAATAAATAAATAAAATAAAATAAAATAAAATAAAATAAAATAAAATCTTAAAAAAAAATAACCTCAGTACAATACCTAGGTGCAAAGCCGTGGCTTAATAAATGGACTGATGCAATATGAGATGAAAATGAGTGCATGACTGGGCCAGTAAGTTTCAAACCAGAACTAGGTATAATAGGTCCCTGACAGATCTCTTCACCTCTTAGCTCTTAATTCATTTAATAAATGGGTGCCCACCAAGGTGCAAGGCACACCGCAGGGGATAAAGTGAAAACAAGACAGTTAAGGCTGCCCTCAGTCAGGACTTTCATTCATCTGAAAGGCGGCACACCAGCCGGTAATAAATAACTTCCAAGGGACAAATGCTAAGAAAAAGATAAAATGGAGTGATGTGGCAGTAAAAGGGACAAGAGAGCCATGGGTGGTTAGAGAAAGCCTCTTCCATTTGAGCAAAGACAGAATGGAAAAAGCAGCAGCTAGAAGGTCCGATGTGGGGGGAAAAGCATTCCAGGCAAAGGGCACAGCCAGGTATAAAGGCTCAAGGCAGGAATAAACTCTCCCAATTTGAAGAACAAGAAGGCCATTGTGACTATAGTGATAGTGGTAGAGTGAGGCTGGAGAGGTAGACAAAGGTCCTTTAAGGCCACAGGAACAAGTATGGGCTCCTCCCACTCCATTTTGTACACTGTTGCCAAATTAGCATTTTCAAAGTACCATTTCCACAGACTCTTCTGCTCAGAAATCTCTCCACATTCCCCAGTGCTTTCCAAATATTCTTAGCACAGTATTCAAAACTCTCCATAATCGAAACTACCTACCTCTACAGCTATTTTTTCATTATATCCTGGCTAAATTTTTTACTTCGGCAAATCAACCTATTTGCTAGCCCCTGCACATACCTTGTGAACTTTCATTTCATACCCTTCTCTTCACTTTTTAAATTAAATATATGTGCATATTAAGAAAGCTCTTAACAGCAGTTCTCTGTCCCATTTTCCACCCCAACCCAGTACATACATATTTTTAAACCTCATACTAGTTACCGATTTATGCATTCTGGACATTGCTTATTTATTTCCAAATTTGATTGATGGATTTATCTTTCTTCACCTCCCCCTAACCTCTTAAAATAGTGAAATCATACTTTTTGGTTAAGTCAATATAGTTTTTAGCATTGACATTTTGCCTATGAGTAAATGCTTCCTTTTTATAACTTTTTGTTTCTCCTGGCATTAATCATTGCTTTACTTTTGCATTTGCTTTTTAAAATAGTATATCTACCATTAAGTCTTACCATATAATCTAATAGTTTCTCAATGCATATTTTGTTTACACTGTCAAATATATTAGATAATCCAACCATTTTTTTCCCCTTGGAGCCTTCCATTCTGTTGCTCTGGTCTGCACTATTGGCTGTCTCAGCCTATGCACGGCTGTCATCCTGGAACTTCTCTGCATCATCCTCAGAATTCCCTTTACCTCTCCTTCCTGTTGGGTCCCCATTTCCTGGATATTTTACTCCTTTGCTTTGGTAAAGCACACACTTTGGTGGCTTACACTGAAAGCATGGGAAATAAAACCCTTTTCAAGAACTTGCAAATCTGAAAATATGATTGAAAGTAACTTTCCTTCAGAATTTTGAAGGTATCACTACATTGTCTTCCAGCATCCAGTGTTGCTATTAAGCAGTTTGAGCTCTATTTTACCTAGGGCTTTGCACATGACTTGTTTTTACTCTCTCTGGAAGTCTTTAGGAAGTTCTTTTTATTCCTGAGGTTCTGAAAAAATTTTTAAAGATTTTATTTATTTATTTATTGTTTTTCAGATTTTATTTATTTGTCAGACAGAGAGAGAGAGCACAAGCAGGGAGAGCAGCAGGCTCCCCGCCAAGCAAGGAACCCAATGCAGGACTCGATGCGGGACTCAGACTCCATCCCAGCACCCTGGAATCACAACCTGAGCCAAAGGCAGACGCTTAACCACCGACTAAGCCACCTAGGCTTCCCGGGATTCTAAAATTTCATGGTGATATGTCTTGGTGCTAATTTACTGTGCTAGGCACTTGGTGAGCCCTTTCCATCTAGAAATTCAACAATATTTCCTTGAATTATTTAATAACATCACTACCATTTTCCCAGTTTTTTGTAACTCCTGTTAGATGTTGGACCTTCTAGATTGATCCTTATTTTTTTCCCTCCTTTATCATCCATTCCCTTTTATTTTTAAATGACTGCACCTTTTTTGGGAGCTTTTCTTCACATTTCCAATCTTTCCCCTATCCAATTGGATAGGTAAAATGTTCACAATTCAAAATTCAACTACTTAAGGATGGATGTAGTCTCCATCCTATTCAGGTCTGCAGTCCTCCAATTCTCACTAGGAAATAATTCACTTATTTTTAATTTCTAAAAACCTTGTTATCCAGTTCTCCCTTTTCATAGTACTTTCTTCATAGACACACTATCTTCCCTCTTTGAATTTTAAGAATAATTATAGCTCCCCGCTGCCCTGAGGTTTTCAAAAATCTCCCTACTTTCTCATTGTTTCCTTCATTTCAGTTTTGTTTTGGTCCCCACCTGTCACACTGGAAGTTTCCTCAAATGTTCGTTGGCCATTGGTGGTCTATTCACATTCAAGAACAAGATACTAAAAAGGTGGTTGGAAGCTGTCCACGTACAGGGCTTTTTTTGTTTTGTTTTGTTTTTTAAAGATTTTATTTGTTAAAATAATCTCTATACCCAAAGTGGGGCTTGAACCCACAACCCCGAGATCAAGAGTCGCACATTCCACCGACTGAGCCAGCCCCCACATACAGGGCTTATTAACTAACAGGTTTCACTGCAGGGTGATCAAGTGGGGTTGATGATGGCTTTTTGTTTTGGAGAAGCAAAAAATATATTTAAAGGCTTTCTTTTTTTCCCCCATTTTTCAGTTTGTTTTTGCCTGGTATGTGCTGATATTCAGAGCCCTCATATACTTAATCCCTCATTTCCAATCTAGCCCCTCACCCCTGTCCCCATGTCTGCTCTTGAGTCCAGAGGCTCCAGTACCTCTTCCCTAAGGTTCTGAAATTTCATTCATTCTACTGGGCACTCATGAGCTCTGTCAGTCTGAAAACTCAAGACCTTTGGATTTAGGAAAACTTCATAAATATTTCTTTGATAATTTCCTCCCACCATTTCTCCAGAGACTAACTCTCCCACTTCTCGCAGGATTAGCAGGGCTAATCACCTGGCTAAATTGGATGAGGTAGAGACCTGGGAGGCCTTTTCTTATATAGATCTTTGATTCCTCTCCACCCCACCCTGTTAGCAACAAATCCTTATCCTCTCTGCTGCGCCTTTTCTGGGTTTAAAAGGGCACATTGGGTTTGCTTTTTGTTAAAAACCACCTCAGCAGACAGAACCCATCTCATTCTGCTCTGTTCAGTCAACTTTTACTTTCATTTATTTTTCATTTTTCAAAATGTCAATGTCTCTCATTCATTGTATCACCTCAGGTTTTCCTTATTGAGTTATAGGCCTTTTTTGAAGAATTCCTTTAGCATTTAAATGGGGTTTGGGAAAAAGCAAAGAACCCACGTGTTTAATGTGCCATATTTAAATGGAAACCCTTTGCTTTGCTTTTTTTTTTTCTTGATTAAACATATTATTCACAGCATGCCTGACTCTGTGACAAGCAGGCTTGAGCCCTGGTCATTCTGGCTCTAAAGGGCAGTGTGTTCTGCGGACAGGTGCCTGCCGCTCTACCTCTTAAACTCCACCTGTGAGTATACCTTGGTGATATCATGGTATCTGCCTTCAGAGGGCTGGTAGTTCGAGATCGGTGGCGTGTAATCTGGCCCTTCTCTTTCAAAGGGGAACAGATTGGGGTCCCGCTTGGTGGCCTCCACATGTAGGGACGGGAGTTGCAGCTCCTGCAGAGCTTCCTGCTGGGACTCAGTCATGGACCTGATGGCATCCCTCTCCTTCTCCTGCTCTTGATGCTTGTACAGAGACCACTTTCTCAGGAGCAGAGCTCTCTGCTCTCTCCTCAAAGGGAAGCTCCACGTGAGGCCGCTGTCTTGCTTTATCCAAGAGCCTCACAGGTGTAATAAAATCTTCAATGGGAATTAGCTCCTGGTTGGCTGTCTCCAGTCATCTGATCCTCTTTTTCAAACGGTCCTTTACTGCTTGGTGTT